TCAGAAGTGCACTTAAAACCAAACGAATACTTCTTCATCCAATTTACACAAAGCTGCTATTCTGACGGAACGTCGTAAAAGACGTGAAAACTTTTAAAATTTTCCGGCAGAATCATTCCAACTCTAAATCCTTATTTTCTTAGAAATATGCGCACTCGGTTTTATTAATCAAATTTACCGTAATCTCGTAGCTGACTCACAAAATCGAATTGAACTCTTTCGGAACTTTTAATGATATGGAGTGAGAGTACAATGTGCTTCAAACTTTTTTACATCTAGTGTATGCTCCCTGTAAGAAAAGTTCTTTGCCTGAGAAATTTGGAAATAACCAGCGCCTCCCTTAGCATTATTCAGGGTTGGATTTGTACGGCGAAACTTACAGTATAGAATTATGAATAATCTGAAGGTAACATTAATTGAAGGGTTATGTATCTATTATTCAGGGAATGGGTATTTGAATATTAGTTCCTATCTGAGATCAAGAAAGATTCTAGAAAATATTATTTAAGCACCGAGCTGCTTTTTTTTTTTTTTTTTTTTTTTTTTTTTTTTTTTTTTTTTTTTTTTTTCTTTTTTTCAAAACGGGCGAGTTTGGCGCATGACGTCACTTGCGAAGCAATTCGCTTTTATTTACGTTCATATTGATAGCTATAGGTTTATGTGTATGGTTTATAACGTGTTTACTGATATTTATAAAGTGTATAGTGTATTTGATATGCTAAATATTTCTGAATGAGAAACACTCTAGAAGAGAGTTCAGAAGAATGTTTAGTTAATGCAACCGACCAAACTAACTTTGATACTCCTCCAATTGATAATGTCCATGCCCTGGAATCTTATATGAATGACCTTGGTTCATTCTCCCATCACTTTAACCCCAGTGAGTTAATAAAGAGAAATAACAGCCTACCTCTCTCACGAAGATTTTAACCAATCATAAACCAAATAAAATAATCAACCGAAGCAATGTCAATTCTGTCAAAAGTAATGACAGATCTTCCGTTTGTTTACAAGTTTTCAATTTTATTTTATTATCTTTAACTTTCGTTTGCATTTATTCTTAGTAATTTTAATTTAAGTTGGTTACTTAGTTTTTAAAGTTTAGTTTGAGTTACCTATTGTACCAAAGAATTTTTATGTTGTGCCAGTAAAAAAACTAAATATGGTGAATGATTGTATTGTTCTGTTGTGTACAAATCATGGAAAAATTACAAAAAGGATGATGATAGTAAGTTGTCAGGAAGCAAAAAATAATAGTATTTAACTTCTAAAAATATGTGTAATAAATATTATATAATTAGTTTATAACTGTTTTATCTTAACAAATAAATATACTTTGAAAAATAAGGCTATTATCGAGCACAAGTTTAATTAAATCTTTCCCAAGTACTTTCGCTTAAAATAGCATCTTCAGGGGCATCTGAAATAAGCCAAGAAAACGTTTTATCGAAGTTAACTAATTTCCTTCATCTAAAAAACGTTTTCTTGGCTTATTTCAGATGGCCCTGAAGATGCTTTTTTAAGCGAAAGTACTTGGGAAAGATTTAATTAAACTTATGTTAAAAGTTCATTTACTCAAGCCATGGACGTATAAACACAGATGGACTCAGTTATTTACATAAAATTGTGAAGTCAAAATTATTTGAATGGGTCACATTCTCAGCACCTTCAACTGTTGTCACGTTTTGTTTTAAAATTTCTTATTCGCAAGTCGATGAAAATATTACTCCGTATTTTATACTCTACAGGTGCTATCAAACCAAAATAATAATTTATTGGTTAGATTAATATATTTAATTGTAATCAAAATATAAAGTGTGCACATAGTGTGCATTATCATTTAATAATAACGTATAATTTAGATATCAATCAATTATTTTATATGTAGAAGCACTGAAAACTATTCATAAATGTCAACGGTTGTTTACATTTCTCTGTCTTATGGATCTACGTCAAACTTCAAATGCTGTTCCATGTTTGTTTACTTTTTAGTAAAAGTTGTTTTTTGATATTTTGGCTGTATTTTGAGTGATATTTGTGAAAAGTAAAATAAAATAAACGAAATATTTACATCCCGATCTCTCATTTCATTTGTAAGTACATAAAATTTACATTATTTAAAATGAGGAAATGAGGAAGCGTGTTTGTTTACATTTTAATAGGCGTACAATTGGGTTTATTCATGTTCATTAATATATTAAATAAGATATAAGTTCATGAAATTAATAGATATTTTTAAATTGTAAGTAGACATCATCTGATTAAAAAAAATCTATTTAGTACCTTTTTAATTTAATATTTCTCATGGATGCAAATAAATTAGTGAAATGAATAAAACTCATTAATTTTTCTATGTAGGGTTCCAAATAATATTGACGATCGAACTATTTTGGTAGCAAATTTAAGAGAAAACATAAAGATTTTTTATTGTAGCATTATTTTGATACCTATTAAAAATTAACTTGAATTCAACTATATTTTATTGTAATAATTTTAAAGCAAATAAAATTTTCTATAAAAATGTGATTTGTTAATAGTTAAACTCCCGTTTTTTTTAAATTCTTTGAACGTGTTTTTTATACATTATTACTACTTCCAATTTTTAAAATCTGAATAATTACCCGCGAGTAAAAATTCAAGCACGCTTATGCTCATTGCGGAAGCATCACATTCTATCGAAGCTTCAAAACATTGTGTGTTAAAGGTATCTTATTGCTGTGTCCATCTATGTTTATACGTCCATGACTCGAGCATTCAACCTTATACCAATTAAATAAATATAAGTGTATCTAGAAAAAATTGTGCATCTTTTATATATCCTTATTTTCTAGTAAATTTTAATTAGTAAAGAAATGGCCCGCAAGAGGCGCTAAGGGTTATGTATGTAAGGGGTATCTATTCCAAGTTGCCGCGAAAAGATGATGGCCCCAGCCGCAAGGTGTTCTAATGAACGAAATTTATAAGTTGCCTATCTATTTCTACTATTATATTATTTATCTATGATGATGTCCAAGCAGAGGAAATTTGCATAGCATAAGAAATACTTTTATCTTTGACAGATGAAACTACAATACCAGGGAATATCGTTTATGAGGAAGAGGATTTTACTAATACGTATTTTGTTCAGCCGAGTTATTTACAAGACCAAAATGTTAATGAAGAAAGTGTAAATTTAATGGAAAATTTTGAAATCAAACAATAAATTAATTTGGAATCACTCGAAAATATTGCTCGATTCGTAGCACATAAATTCAAAATAAATACCAACTAGGAATACCTACAAAAGAATTGCAGTTATTGGACAACAAACCTGATTGGTTAGATATTATTTCCAGGGGATCACCTATGAGGCCCACCGAGGAATTGTGGAAAGTAGCAGTTGTGCTGGACTGAGAATTCCATAAAATGCATGGAAGCAGTTTGAGCAAAGATAAAAATATTTTCAGAAAATAATACTATACCATTTGAGGTAATTGAATGTCCTAGCAGAACTCGAACATATATTCGACTACGAGATTTAAATCATACTATAAGTTTAAAAAACAGTCAAAGAAAAGCATATAGAGAACTAGCAAAATTTACTTATATTAAAAAATAATCTAATTTAATTCTAATCGGAAGAAATTATTGTAAAATCACACAAAAACAATCTTTAATTTAATAGTCAGCAATCAATTTCTATTATATTTTTGTTTTTATTTTTGACATTTAATAAAATTTCTATTTGTTAATTATTATTTAACTGGGAATAAGCCACAATTAAAGATAAAAATACGTTTATTTACGTTTCAATTTCCATTTCGGAAATCGCTCTCAAAATACAAACAGTAAATTAAACAAATTTTGTTTTTGTTACATAGTGAAAAATTCTTCTAATAATTTAATTTTATTTGACTAACCCTATGTTCATTATCCCATGCGTGTTTACATATTTGTTCAATGGAATAATTCAAATGTAGTCCTAAAAGAAACGGATGGTAAAAAAAGAAAAATCAAAGAAACGGCTCTAATTATGCTAAATGAGGCCAATTGTGTCGCAAATTCCTCGGCAGAATGTAGTAGGATCTGGTTACCAATATTGAAAGAGAAAGTTATTAATAAGAAAATACCAGTATTAGTAAGTCAGTAACATATAGAGTAGATATAGACATCATTTATGTTTTTTAAATAACGAAACATATAAAATCAGAATTTTGATGTTTATTGAAGGTAAACTAAATGCACGAACAAATACTTACCATGTCGGGATAGTATTATGAGGTTTTTTTCCTGGTTTTTTCCCTCATAATTTACTATGGAATCACTAACAGGAGAATTTTACTGTCATCATATCATGTGTTTGTCTTTTTAAATATGAATTACATGCTATGATTTTTTTCTGACGGATATTCTCAAGTTAAAGTTGATTTCATGTAATCGAATGAACTATCTTATAAGTAAAGTCGTCCCAAGAGCGCAACTCAACAATATTGGTAATATTTTAAAGTCGTCTACTTTAAAATGCATAATGTATGTCTGAATTGTCAATATAAATGAGTCAGATAAAATTAAATCATTAGAAGAATTTTTCACTATGTAACAAAAAACAAAATTTGTTTAATTTACTGTTTGTATTTTGAGAACGATTTCCGAAGTGGAACTTGAAACGTCAATAAACGTATTTTTATCTTTAATTGTGGCTTATTCCCAGTTAAATAGTAATTAATTTAAAATATTTAAAATGCCACAAGAAACTAGCTTCAGAACAATACCGACAATTTGGACCGAATTAAACATTATAATATAATGTCTCATTGTAATATCTTATATATTTTTTATAGTTTTTTACTAAATTTGAATGTATTATGTATTTTTTAATTATTTAGTTTTAGTCTAATTTCACTGTTTTTTTATCAACCCGTGATAGTTATTTTCTTATTAGTATGTTAAAAAATATTTACTTTAAATCTATAACTAATTAGGTGGAGTTTTAAATATAATATATTAATTTTTGGTTTCAGGAACATCGGGGTTTACGTGTTAGCCCTACAATGCGAGAAAAAATGCCGCCATTAGCCTTATACTGTTGACAATTATTTTGTTCTGTAAGTATTTTTTAATAAAAACTTAAATTACGTATTCCATTGTATATATATTATTATCTGCTTTTTTTTACTTTTATATTAACTTTTTATTTATTTAATTACTTTAATTAATTGTCTAAATGTTGCAAATCATATATAAAAAAAACAATCTCAGGGTGCCATTTTATAAAAACAATAAGTCAGCCTAGATTACACTTATATTTTCTCGTGGCTTCCAGTATCTCTTAATTGTTTCTTCTCGGGATAAAACAGGAAAGGAAATTAAGAGAAATAGCATCAATACAAATAAAAATATCTTTTATTATCAAAAGAAATAATATGAAAATTTTGAAATATTGGAATCTTTGTTTATATGTTTTTGTACAAAAAATTTTGAATATTATAAAAAGAAACCCTTTAAATTTATTACGCAATATTAATAATTAACCTTTGACGTTAAAAAAACGACTTTTATAAAATTTATGGTACTTTTCTTTTATTCTTCGTATAGTCTTATTTATACCCTGATGGAGATTGCTTTTACCACGATGATAATGATCTAGTATTTGGGATATTTCATCCTTTTCCGGAGTTTTAATGGCATTTCTATCTCTATAGTCTTGATTTTCGCGTTGTCTATAATTTTCTTGCGATCTTCTTAATTTTCTTTGTCCCATTTTTACTTCTCGTGTTTTTAAGAATTGGCATAAACTTTCGATATCTGTAGTTTTATAAAGTTATGTGATCTTCTAGGGTATATTTAAAATGTCTGGCTATCAGTTTTACTGATAGTAAATGTTGACAAACATGAAAGTTATAGCGAAAAATAAAATTTTAAATTTCCACTTTAACACCCTGTATCTTTCTTAATATCAACATTTTATTAAAACAAGTTGGCTTAAATCGTAATATTTTAAAGTGTAAAATCTGCGGTGTCTTTTTGTACAATTACTTAAGGACCACCCTGTATGTATACATATTTACCAATATCTGTTTGTTTTTATACATGTACATTTTAGAATCCTGACAAAGGCAAGAGTGTCTTGCCGAAACGTTGATTGCTATGGAAAATAAAATCTAGTTCCACATATATATATATATATATATATATATAATATATATATATATACCTATATATTTATATATATAATGAAGGTTTATTTTAAGGATGCAGTCATTTAAGTAGGGCAGGATAAGTTAAACTCTTTGTTCTTAAATCAAGCTTTCGCAAAATTTATTTGCTTCAGCAGGATATGCTAAAATATGTTATGGTAAATACAACGAAATTAGAATTAAAAAACATTGTATAAAACTAATGTAAAAACTTACAACATGATAAACCATTAAATTATTAAATTCACAAAACATTCTTAACTTATCTAAATTATACTTTTATGAAAGTACAATATTTTAATTTTGAATATATTATGACATTGATTATTATAATGATGTTTGATTTATGTCAGAAAGACACTCGTGTCTGTTTTTGTTATTGATAACTAGCTCTAGATTGTTATTATGCTTATGTACAAAGTGGCGCCAAATATGAATATCTAAAATTTTTGAAAATATAGTATTTATAGTCAGAAAATCATATATTAGAAAACTAAAGTATTAATTTTCGTAAGATAGAATGTAATTATAGATATTGCTTAGTTTGTTAATATAATTTTTTTTATTAACGCGTTGATATTTATTTATGCATACCATTTCTAAAAATTCTCTTTTATTTAATTGGTTTTTACGTCTTAATATATTAGTTTCATTAAAATTAAATGAATGATTATTATTAATTGCATGATCTATTAATGCACACGTATTTTTATTATTTATAAGGTCACTTTTATGTGATGATAGTTTACCTATTAGATTTCTAGATGTGTGTCCGATGTATGACTTATTATAGGTAGACTAACATCACATAAAAGTGACCTTAGAAATAATAAAAATACGTGTGCATTAATATATCATGCAATTAATAATAATCATTCATTTAATTTTAATGAAACTAATATATTAAGACGTGAAAACCAATTAAATAAAAGAGAATTTTTAGAAATGGTATGCATAAATAAATATCAATGCGTTAATAAAAAAACTGATATTAAGAAACTAAACAATATCTATAATTACATTCTATCTTACGAAAATTAATACTTTAATTTTCTAATATATGATTTTCTGACTATAAATACTATATTTTCAAACATTTAAATATTCATATTTGGCGCCACTTTGTACATAAGCATAATAACAATCTAGAGCTAGTTATCAATAACAAAAACAGACACGAGTGTCTTTCTGACATAAATCAAACATCATTATAATAATCAATGTCATATTCAAAATTAAAATATTGTACTTACATAAAAGTATAATTTAGATAAGTTAAGAATGTTTTGTGAATTTAATAATTTAATGGTTTAACCTCATGTTGAAAGTTTTTATATTAGTTTTATACAATATTTTTTAATTCTAATTTCATTGTATTTACCATAACATATTTTAGCATGTCCTGATGAAGCAAATAAATTTTGCGAAAGCTTGATTTAAGAACAAAGAGTTTAACTTATCCTACCCTACTTAAATGACTGCATCCTCAAAATAAAACTTCATTTTACATAACGTGTCAGTCAATAATACCTAACTACTTATATATATATATATATATATATATATATATATATATATATATATATATATATATATAAATATATAAACACCTCAGTTTTTTCCTGTGAAAACAATTTTCTCAAACATCTATGTCAAAGGAAAATTTTGAATAGGACTGTAAATTTCTGTTAATTCTCCGAAAAAATTTCTCTTTTAGCCTTTAGAATTTCAACATTCATTTGAACTCAATGCACACCTTGTTATTAGCTTTTCCTCGTATTTTCACTGAAGAGAACACTTAACCATTTAGAACGCTTATGTGTATACTGTACCTACACGAGAGTTACAGATCTCAACCGATGAGTGAGTAAAAATGAGATGGATGTAGTCAGTGTTGGACTAAATAATTCTTTAACTGAATTAACTAATAAAGAAGAATGTAGGAATAGAAACGACTTTTTTATAACTTGAATTGTTTTACATATCTATAAAAGCTCAAAAAGCTGGAATACAATATTAGTTATTAACTATTAGAAATTGGTTTTAAAGGAAGTGAGCTGTCCGTTGCCAAGACTTTGTCTGTTATTTTTAGATGACTAAGGTATTATTGTTTTGGATTAATAATATATATATATATATATATATATATATATATATATATATATATATATATATATAATAAAGTTTTTTAAAGAATACTTCGATTGGAATCTTGAAATAAATTTAAAATATAACTAAACGTGACGTATTGTTTTGTAAGTTAGGTTAGATAAGGTTCAATATGAGTAGTCTATACACTCAAGAGACACAAACACAAACATGTTCGGATTTAGACCGGGCCGCTGTACTATTGACCAGATATTCACAATAAAACAGATAATGGAAAAATGCTGGAAGTTTGATCATGAGCTTCATCAGATGTTCATAGATTTTAAACAAACATTTGATACAGTATGCAGGGACAGACTGTGGACAGCGATGCAGGAACTTGGCTTTCCAAAAAAACTGGTCAGGTTGATAAGGATGTGTATGGAACGGTTACGATCTAAGGTCAGAGTTGGACAACAATATTCGTAGACATTTGAAATAAACAATGGACTAAAACAGGGTGATGCACTTTCACCACAACTCTTCAACTTAGCTCTGGAGCACATAAACAGAAGTGCAAGAATCGAAAAACCTAATACAGTATTTCATCGGAAGGATCAAACTTACTACTGGCATTTGCAAACGATATCGATCTAATAAGAAACACACAATTAAGGATGAAGGAGACTTATGTGAGTTTTCAGAAGGAAGCAGTGAAGATGGGGCTCCAAATCAACGAAAACAAGACGAAATGTATGTGTATGAGCCGCAATAAGCAAAGCAGAGATAGAATCGGTCAGAACATCACCATCGATGACTTTAACTTTGAGCACGTTAGAGAATCCAAGTATCTTGGAACAACAATAACTGAAGACAATAACGGATCACAAGAAGTAAACAACAGGATTCAGGCCAGCAATAGATGTCTTTTTGCCCTCCAAAACCTTAAAATCAAAACAACTAACACGACGTACAAAGATACAGGTCTATAAAACAATCATACGACCCGTTTTAATGTATGGAAGCGAAGTGTGGACAATAACAAAGGCAAACAAAGAGAGACTATGTGTTTGGGAAAGAAAAATCCTAAGGAAGATATTTGCTCCTGTGCTGGATGAAGCATCAGGACAATATAGGATAAGAACTAACAAAGAGCTCGAAGAACTTTACCCAGACGCCAACATCATAAAAGAAATAAAGTCCAGAAGACTCCAATGGGCAGGACACCTCAGAAGACATTCTGAGGAAGGAACAGTAAGACTGGTGTATGAGGAAGTCCCAACTGGAAGGAAACCACGCGGACACTTTCGTCTCCGATGGCGAGGTAATGTAGCAGGAGACCTAAGCACTATGGGCGTGGAGAATTGGATGGAGGTTGCTCAAGGCAGAAAACAGTGGAGGCATGTTGTCAAGTCAGCTAAAACCCACGAAGGGTTGTAACGCCATGAAGTAAGTAAGTAAGTATAGAAAAACACATCATAAAATACATTTTACCTAAAAATTTGACGTTTCGCTTTCCACTCCGGAAATTGTACCCAAAAAAGAATGTTAAATAATTCTCTTTGAAAAACGGTGTATTAATTGTTGTTTGTTATTGAAAATGTTATGCCCACGTTTGCCCACGATGTTATAGGCAACAGCATTGTTTGGCTGAAAAGATGTGAGGGTGCATGTTTTGCCCCATGGAAATTTCAAACTCTGATTATTCAGAATGTTCGATATTGTTATTATGTGCTAAATGTAAATATTTGTAAATATGTATGTTAATGTAAATATTTGTATATGTGTGCAGAATGTTCCTGTTTGTATTATGTGTTGTA